AAAAGTCTAAATTCTCTTGGTCTTCGGACATGCATTTCCAAATTTTTAATTCTGTACTTTTTAGAAATGTACAAAATGTCATTGCTTTCCTATTTCCCAGACTCTTATTGTGGCTTGGATCCGAGCAAATCTGAGTGTTTACATTTCTCGAGAACTCTGGGATGAGCTGCTCAGCATACTGTCTTCCCTTACTGACTGGGAGGAGCTGATAACTGAATGGGCCAACATCATGGATTCTCTAACGGCAGTGTTAGCAAGAATGGTGTATGGAGTTGAAATGACAAACTTACCACTGGATAAACTAAGTGAGCAAAAGGAAAAAAAACAAAGAGGCAAAGGTAAAGTCTCTCTTCTTTAGTGTATTTTATGTTAAATAAGTTAAGATACTCAAACTTAGTTGGACTATATTAGATTTTCAAGTGTAACTTAAACATTATGGTTCTTTGCACATTGTAAAGATTCATTTGAAAAAATGCACTCCATTTTACTTTACTTAGTATTATTTCACGCAAAAATATTGAGCATTTGCATTAATAAGATACTTATACTGATCTGTTTTTATAAAAACTTTTTAAAAATGTGGATGGGTGTTTAGGGGCTTAACACCAGTCTCCGCTGCAGTAGTAGGAATGGAGCATGGCTGCTTGTGCTGGAATCTGTGCATAGCCACCGACACTAGAAATCCTTTTCAATATAGTTTAATTTTATTGCATTTTATTTTAATAAACCTGTTTAAGTAAGAGTCTGGGGGTCAGTGGAGGATTTTGTGGGCAGTCTTGTGAATCTTCACACTGCTTTCGTAGCAATTTACAATAATTAACTAATTGAACTATCTTAGTGAACATGGTTAGAGCTCTGTGAGGTAGATAAATGTAATTCCTATTTTACAGGTGGGAAAACTAAGGCAAAAAGACCCAAGGTGAGACCCTTTCCATGCACCAACCCTCTTAGGCTGGGTAAAAGGGCCAGAGCAGCATAGAGGGCCTTATAGGCCTATAACTTGCCAGGGGACTATTCACTGGGCACAGGCACTATGGAAGATAGCCTTAAGGTTGTCCTGCAAGGACTTTCTCACAAACCAGGGGTCAGGGATGACACCAGGAGGAGCATGTTTTAGGGGGGCAGGAATATAGTGCTGCAGTGATAAAGCCCATAGGGTAATCCCAGGAGGTTGTCATAATTTAGGTAGACCCCTAGATTTGTCTAAATTACATCAGAGGCCTCTCTAGCTCCTGAAGCAACTTAGGATCAGGAGAGTGCAAAGGTGACTTAGTCATCTTAGCATCTCCTCCCTCTGAGCTGCAAGGTCTTTATTGTGTCTTAGAGGTACAGCACAGAATTTCATTCCTAAAATTTGCCCAAGACAATAAAGAGAGTTAATATTAGAACCAGGATTAAAGCACAGGAATCCCTTACTCTCACTTCTGTGTTTAGTCTGCTTTACCAGGTTGCTGCTTCTAACTCCACTGAAATGTCACCAGGTGTGGGCAGAGGCCTCACTGGTAGCTCAGCAGATGAGCCAGTTCAACTGCAGGCAGTTAGCCAGGGAGAAGCTTGCATTGACCGTACACGCTTAATGACAGTACTGCCCATCCCTTACCTCAAGCCTTTATTGGTTCTGGGGCCTCCCTCAAAAATCAGAGGTCCAATTTCACAACTCCCAAAGGCCAGCCCTGGGTGATGACCATGCATAATCTGAGATTCAGAAAAAGTAACTAGCAAGCTTTTAGGTCTAGTGATGAGTTTACAGTTTTCTCTGCCACCTCCATAAAAGGAATAGGGTTTAGAAGCATATAGACCAAGATTATTAAAAAAAATACGTGTCTAAAGTTAGACATCTAAATAAGTGGCGTGATTTTCAAAAATGCCAGGCACCCACTGAAATCAGTGGGAGGTACAGGTTCTGAACTTTAGCCCCCTTATTTTTAAATTTGGTCATAGATTAATCTTAACACTTAGACATCCTGAAAATCAGGGAATTGGATGGGGGAGCAAGGTGGACTGTCAATGCCAGCGACTTGATTCTTGAATTTAAATTAAGGAACGCGCAGTACAATGCGGTGTTATTATGGAAACCTATTTTGACTCTTGATTAAGTCCTGCACTTTGAGTTCTGGCCAAGTGACAAATTACTGTACATGAAAATAAATCAATTTAATGGCTCAACTTTCAGTACATCATTCTATGCCGATGACACTATCTATAACTATGTTATTTGAGAAAATGAATAGAAAGAAGAAACAATGGGAGGAATTGTACCACATGAGCTTTGTGGTACAACTTCTCCACAGTTGACATCTCTTAAATTATTTTGAATAATATTTTTCTGCCAAAAATAATAGGTTTAAAACGTGTCCCATTTTAGTTCCTTTTTGTAGAAACACTTAACTCTATGTAGTAAGCATAGTATTAATTGTAAATGTTCTAGATTGATGTTGCTTTTGCTTTCTTTATCTAAAAGGTGGCATCTCAGATCCTCAAAAGGCAACTACAGTGGGACGATCATTTTCATTAAGCTGGAGAAGTCATCCTGAAGTTGTGGAACCAATGAGATTCAGGAGTGCTACTACCTCTGGAGCACCAGGAGTCGAGAAAGCAAGAAACATAGTCCGACAAAGAGCAACAGGTTAGGCACTGGCTACTTTAACATCTTAATTATAAATTGAAAGATCAACATTTATAAAACTGAAATTATTTTAAAAGCTACTCTCGTGACTTTTAATTAGGAACAAATGTTTGCAAATTTCTCTAAATCTTTTTCTTCACTTTTCTTATACCTTGAAAGAGAGGTCAATTTTATTTACTTCAGGATCCTTTTAGTCAAACATACTATGATTATATAAAATAGGAAAGATTTATTGATCACTGAGGTAGGACACAATGATTTAATATTTTGTTGAGTATTTTTTTAATGGGCTAGATAATAAAGAATGATTGGCTAAGTATTGTGAACTATATAGATATACTATACTAATGTATTTGTTCAAGATGGGACTTTTTAGCCAGCATGACTACCTTTCAGACATTTAGAATAACTTTTTATAAAAGCAATAACTCATGTTGTCACAGGCCACTTTTCCCTGGAAAAGTCAGCATTCACTAGTGAATCAAGACACGTTGGCTTCATTCCTTAAAACTTTGCTCAGACTTTCAAGCATTCAAGTACTGGTACAAATAACCAAATTATCATGTCCTTCTGATGTTTACATATATTCTGTGCAAAATAATCCTGTTAGTGTGGTATTAAGATATTGTATTTTCTGGCTTTAAAATTGTATGTGTTCACAATAATCTTTCTTGCTGCTTTTACCAGATCTGAATTGTAAAACACCCTTGGATTTTTTTGGTGAACGATTGTGTATGAAAATATTTTAGTGTATTCATTATGAATAGGTTCTTTTTTATGTATATACTAAATTCTGGACTACACGACTTAGTATTTGGTAAATATTATATGGAGGTGTAGAAATACTTTAAAGTTTCATTAAACAGTTATAGTACCTGTAAATTAAGCAAGTAAAACAAGAAAATTAATGAGAGGTTTACAGACTATTAGGAAATATATAATACCTACTATTGGGGAATTCTCTTACTACAATCAATTAAAAAGTGCTGCAAAACTAAGCCATTTTCCATAAAATAGTGTATTTGTATAACTGTAAAAATATCAAACGGTTAATAAATAGTTATGGAGTAGTCTATCATTTTTACAACCTAAGAAAAATCTCTTATTTTAATAATTCTAAAATGTCATCTTTTCATGAAAATATTTTTAAATTATCATTCTTTGTATTTAGTCGTACTTAACATCCATACCTATATCCCTTTGTATACTTTATTACATCTTACACTTTCTCAATATAGAAACCTTTTTAAAATTTGTTTTGTATTTTCTGTAAAGTGAAATATACATCTGTAGCACGAGTTTTCAAAAATGGGTACCCAAATTAAGCTCTTAAATCCATATTTTAGGTGCCTGAATAGGTTACCTGATTTTCAGCAGTGCTGAGTTCCCAGCATTTTTGAAAATAAGGCCAAGTAAATATATATGGTAGCTCAATACGTATATACAGTAGCTCGGTGTTCTCCCATATTCTTTTTCTCTGTTTCTTCTATAAAGAAAGAGAAAATGAGAAAAATAAGAGGAGAGTGAGGGCAGGTCAGGGAGTGAGGATGATGGAAGAGTCTCCCTGAGTCCCCAGATGCAGAAGAGAATACACGGTTTTCAAACATTCCAGATAATAGATTGTCTTTCTCTGATTTGATGGTCACAAGTGCCGCTCATTCCAGTTCAATGGGCCATCAAGCAGCAGCCACAGCAGATGTTCATTACTGCTTTTGAGTAAGGGATATTCCACTGCACAGCATCTCTCCTCATTCATAACAAATGGGCATCTCATTGTTGAATTTGGAGACAGTCCAATATTGTTGCTGGAGGCTCCAGGACTAGGCCCTGCCCTCCAGGTCAGATCACCAGAAATTCAGTCTCTCATAATAGAAACAAGTTGGTGGTTCAATTTCTCCTAACCACTTTGTTATAACTTCAATTTCTTCTTCAAGTAGTGTCCCTATTAGTGCTCCATTCCAGGTGCGCATGCGCCTCTCGAGCCCTTGATTGGCAATTTCTAGCTAGTTGTGCCTGTTCATCCCATGCATGTGCCCTACGCCTCCTCGTGGCAGACTGAGAGCAACCCTCAGTTCTTTCTCTACAGCCTCGGCCTGAGAGACAACACTAGTGTGTCTGCCTAGAGCATACTTGGCCTTTCTCTTTACTTTTTCTATTAAAGTTAGTTTAATGTCGTTGTTAGTGTTAGTATATTTAGTTTAGGTGAGAGGACTGTTTTCTCTCTTCCTCAGGGAGACTTGTCTTCTCTTAGGGGGTGTGCCTAGTTTGCCAGGCTTCAAATGTTGTCTCTCCTGCTGGGAGGCTATGCCAGTGAGCGATGGAGACTCCAAGTGGCTCTGTTGTCTGGAAGAGTCCCATATCTCCCAGAAGTGCTCCTTTTGATTAGTCCTTAAGTCCAGGGCTAGGAAGAACAGCGAGATAAGGCTCAGACTTATTGGCAATGGAGCGTTTCCTGCAATTGCCCTCTGAGCCAGGTCAAGAGATCACATGCAGATTTTAGCAGCTTACCTTACAGGCATCCATGACTACAAATGGGAGCTGGACCCGCAGGTCCTCCAGGACATATTCTGAGATGGGGACAGCCAGAGATTGATCTATATGCCAACTCCGAGAACAGGAAGTATTCTCTCTTCTGTTTAAGTGGATGTCTGGGTCCTTGCTCCCTGGGGGACACCCTCCTTGTTCCATGGAAGAGGAGTCTGTTCTATGCCTTTTCTCTGATGCCCCTAATTCCAAAGTTGATGAACAGGATCAGGCAGTCCAAGGCCAGAGTTATTTTCATAGTACCTACCTGACTGAGACAACCTTGGTACCATTACCTGCTTTAGCTCCGAGTACAACCACTGATCAAGCTCCCGACAGTTCCCCATCTCCTGTCTCAGGTATGTGGGTCACGCGATTCAGCCCAACCTGGTGGTTCTACATCTCAGAGCCTGACTCCTGAAGGTTCTCATAAATAGAGATTTCCTGCTCCAGAGCGGTGCAGCAGCTGTTATTCCACAGCATGACATCTGCCTTCACTGCTTACCTGCAGAAACAGAAGAGATTTGTCTACTGGTGCGGTTGCTACCTCTGGTCTGAGTTGGTTCCCCTTTCCTTCATCATGGATTACGTGCTGGATCTGAAGACATCCAGATTATTCATCAGCTCAGTCAAGGTTCACCTGGCTGCCGTACCAGCCTTCCATCCCCCGATGGAGGGATTCTCCATTTTTGCTCACCCAGTATCATCCAGATTTATTAAGGGTCTGCATAGTCTCTTCCGCCACAATAGAGATATGTACAGTTGCTACCTGATCTTCAATCCATATATTTTCAGAGCATTACACCCCACTCCATGCCATCAAATACGATGTGGCACTCGGCTCTGTGATACTATCTTCAGTTCTAGGTCCTGTTCCAAAGGCAACCCCCCCCCGCGCCGCCTTCTCCTCCTTCTGGGGATATTGCTCAGAAGTCACAGAGCCACTACTCAAAGAAAAAACGGAAATGTTACTCAACCTGTGCAGTAACTGTAGTTCTTTGAGGTGTGTGAGTTCTTCATTACCTGCCCTCCTTTCTCTGTGCTTCAGTCATTCTTTAGATGATGACAGAGTAGAAAAAGACCTGAGTGTAGTTTGCCCATGCACCCCTATCTAAGCTTGGTGTCTGCCACGAGGAGGGACAGAGTGAGAGTGTGTGCTGAACAGGGACTGCTAGCTAGAAATCTCCAACTGGGGGCTCAGGAGGCACATGCACACCTAGAGTGCAGTGCACAGAGGGACACATCTTGAAAAAATCCAGTTACTGCACAGGTGAGTAACATTTCCTTTTATTCATTTTTATGCGGTAGTGACTTCATTTCAGCTTCTAATTCTGCTCTTCCTCTCCTCAGCTGAGGAGTCACTGGAGCATTGAGGCTGTAATCTTTTGATTCCTTCAGTACTGCACCCATCTCCCTCTGCCCCTCCCCAAGTCATTGAGCAAAGTTCAAGAGCTTTTCAGGAACAAAGACTGCTTTAGCCAAATTCAAGTGATTGGCCTCGATAAAGGGGTAACTGGGTGAAAATAAATGGCCTGTGATACACAGGAGGTCAGACTAGATGATCTAATGGTCCCTTCTGGCATTAAACTCTGAGACACTGTCAGTGAAAACACACACGACTCTTCCACTGGAGTGGAAGCCAGTTAGTGGTTTGCAGGGAACTCAATAATAAAAATTTAAAAAATCTTTGCCTTCAAGAATGGTAGGTACTGTACAGGGTAAGGAAAGACTATTTGGTGGCAAGCAAGTGGTTTGTTTTCTAAGGATATGAATCTTGCTTTGAGTGTGAGATGTCTGAGGTTCACATTCTGATTGAATTCTTGCAGCCATGTGCAAAATATTTTTTCTGGCTAACCCTACTGCAGTTTTATAAGGGGGGGGAAGTGTGGTGGAATGTACCCCTGGATTCACACCCTGCACCTGATGTAATATTCTTTGTACAGGGCATGCCTTGTGAGGTATCTTTTGAAAATTCATAACTTGCTGATCAGTAATATCATGGTAGAATGCAGGTAACAATATTATATGTAAATTTATTAACATAATCTGAAATCATGGCTGAAATGCATTTCCCAGATAAGTTTCAGGAGTAGCTAAAACAGTTTCTCAAAGACAAAAGGCAAGCTGATGTCCCATCCAGGTGTCAACAAAGCTGATGGGCCACCACCTATCAAGTGGCCATTCTTTGGCAAGGAAGGGGACAGGGACAAAGAGGTCTGCATCTTAGCAAAGAAACAGCATGAGGTCTCCTTCCTCCACCAGATTCCCTGTCTCTTGGTTCTCAGCTGGAAATGCTTTTCAAAGAGGGACTGACACTATAAAAAGAGGGGGTAAATATCCCAAGACACCTCTCCCTCCCTCCCTCCCTTTCCACCTCACTCTTTGCACCTTAGAAGACAAAAGAAGCAGCTGTTGGACTATGGGGGAGTAGTCCTGACCTGAAATATTTAGTCAGTAATGCTGCTGGAGACATGTGGTGAGCAACTTTGTTTTAAATCTAATATAGTTTAAGTTAGGCACTAGAAAGCATTTTATCTTTATTTTTCTTGTGACCATATCTGACTCTAATGTCTCATTACTTGTACTCAATTAGTTAGTACATTTGTTTTGATGTTTTATCAAGTTAATGTGACTGGGTAACTCCATGTAAGGTCCCTTAAAGGAATAATGGACTTAATATATTTGAACTGTCCAGGAGCGGGCTGGAGGTTAATGCTGCAGTGCATTATAATGGGCAGTTGAAGCCTCAATTGCCAAAACTTTAAACAAAATCATTAGTATAATTTCTACTGTTCAGCCGCACTGTAGGTTAGTTGCAAGAACTTTGTGGTGTGGGGAGAGTGTTCCTGCATGCATAGGTACTATTGTGGAAGAGGAGGGATAGTTCTGAATGTCACCACGACATAGGCGCCGACTCCATGGGTGCTCTAGGGCTGGAGCACCCACAGGAAAAAAAATAGTGGGTGCTCACCACCCACCAGTGGCCCCGCTGATTAGCTCCTTCCCATCCCTCCTGCTCAGGGGAGGGGCCAGAACAGAGGTGGAGTGGGAAGAGGTGGGGTAGGGCCTTGAGAGAAGGGGTGGAGGGGGGCAGGCCTGGGGCAGAGCCGGGTGGCAAGCAGCCCCCCAAAATTGAGAGAGTCAGTGCCTCTGCACCATGTCT